TAGTGTATATTGCCCATTGATGTGACAGGTGAAAACTTTGATCGCGTTGCGGAAACTGAAAATATTAACCTATTTCAAAGATATTTTGCACATTTAATAAAGAAGTCCGGTGACAACTTTTCCGCACTATTTGAATTGCTATTGGAAATTTAGATTTTTTCACCCCACCCTAATGTACGTCCATACAGTATGTTGAGTCTCACTTTGAGGAAATGGATCATGAGATGCCAGATGTATAACCCCTATTCACTTGCTCTTCACAGGCACATGAAAACTCACAAGATCTTTACACCCGATCATCAGATATCACACATCTATTGTGAAACTCACCCCTGCCAAAACTGGACATTGACACAAAAAAGCACCCCCCCCCCCCATTGTACAAGGATCAAGGATATAATGGCACTTTTCCACTGCCGCCAAGAACTGAACCACGCTGCACACTGATGGTTTTCCATTGTAAATTATGTGAGCCCCAAACGCGCTGACATGGTCCTGCTTACTAGCAGGGCCCGAAAGCATGACCAAACTGAGCTGGTTGCATCGCCACCATCTGATTGATTAAAATGCTCAGAGATACCACTGATTTGCATTGATATGCATAGATTATCTGAAGGCATATTCTATATTATTCATTATTAGTAGTGTTGCGCAACGCGATGTATCGATGCATTCCCAGTAACTCGGAACTTGAACATTTCTAGCTGCCTAATTAAAAAAGTGCTATCGATCAACTGAACGGAAGAGATTCGTAATGCAAATTTATGCAAGAAAATGTTAATTACGCTAGCGTTCGATACTTTCATAAAATGGCGATTCTCACAGACTTGCTAGAAGAGTTTAGCATATAGCAAATGATTATGTACACAATGTGAACAGTAAATATGCGTTTCTTCGGTTTTCCATCACTATCGCTCACCAAACCCAGCAACACCTTTACTGAGCCGGCCCCTCTGCAGTGGAAAACCAAAGCAAGCTGGAACTGTACTGTAACTAGGCACTCTTCATGGTATTGCTCGGGTTCAGCCTACTTCCTGTATGCCAGTGGAAAAGCACCATTACTGAACAGGCACACTTGTATTGTTTCAATACCTGATTGGGAACTCAAATAAGTGTATCTGTCATGAAGCTCTCTTAGTTGCACTGGGCGGTGAAATGCCTTACAGGCATCATCTGTATACCTGGCTATTCTGTATTACTTGCAAATTATACAGAATTTGCATTATGATCTGTAAATATTAGCCTACCGTTGGATAATATCGTTAGGTTTTGGTTGCCAAAGACGGTAAATCATCAAGAATATTTATCTGATCTTTTTAAGGGGGGATGTCACTGACATAATTAATCCCCCCCTACCTCCCACTGCCTCCATGCCTCCTCAGCCCCCCCCCAACTTGCTCAGCCTACTTACTCTGACAAGTTGTTCTTCTCTGAGAAGACCCTGAGGATGAACTCTCCCTCCTGGTGGGGCTCGTAGGTGGAGGGGACAATGATGTACTCTCCCGGGGGGAGGCGGAAGCGCTCCGTCACCTCCCGCAGATTGATGTAGGATTTGCAGCGTGCCTTGGAGGCATTGTAGAGGAAGAAGTCCTTCGGCATGTGTTGCGTGTTGCCGTGCATCTAATGCAGAGATTCACAGAGAAAGTCCAGCTGAAGTGTTGGTCCAGCGGACTATCTACTGTGACTGTCGGGAGAGATGAAAACTAATACAAATGCTCAACATGGAAAGTCAAGGCGTAGTGACACCTTTATGTACGTTTACTTAACCGGAAGCTATTTCTCTATGTAAAAGTTCAGACTAATGGATGTTTTAAAATGTTTAGGTCTATCTGCAGATAGACCAAAGAAGCAAGCTGAAAGAAGAACAGGAATGTAGCAGTAGATATAAATGCTTCACACTGCAGAGAACTGGGCACTTGTTTGACTCAGCCATGACCTAAAGCTTCATCGAATGTCTTTGAAGGAGGTTCACACCACCATACCTCTTGAGGGACCTGCAGCGGACACAAACAAGAAGAGAAAACAGGCCATTATCGAGCATGGACTTGTTGCAGTGCCGCATTACTATTGTTCAATGTGTTCAGATCGGAAATCCTTGAAGAAACTCCATGGTCAACACATGTTGAGGAAACGCATGTTCTGTATGAACTGAGAAGTCCACAACCGCGTTAAACACCTCATAGATGGAAAAGCCAATGGTGAAGAGGTTGGCCCCCATCTTGCGCTCCATCCTGCGGTTCTTCTGCATCAGAGCCACCACAACAGTGCAGGCCACCTCGTTGTCATCGGGGTCGTCGTCCTCCTCCAGCAGGCGCAGTCGGTACTGGGGGTTCGTCCAGAATGTGTCTGCAGGTGGTGGCACAGGGATTTCCCCTAAAATGCTATGATTCTATTCAGGTTGTGCTGCTCTGTGGACATCATGGTCAATAACTTTTATAATATATTGTTTCTGAGCACTGATGTTATTCTGTATCAGTTTATTATTTTAATCACTTGAATCATTGGCTTTATCGACTTCCTTTGATAAGAAGGTTAGGCAAATGCACCATTGTTAACTGTACTATTGTTAAAATGTTTAAATGGTTGATTTGGAAGATTTTTGTTTTACTTTTTCGGGATTTTTTAAGATTAAAAAACTGGGGCTGGGGGGACTTATAACCTCCCCAATATTCAAACCCCCCCCCCCCCCCCGAGTAATTACAATATGGGTGGAGACCTTGGTTGAACCTGATAATGTTCTAGTCCATGATTCCATGAATCACAAATTTAATCCAGAGTGGAGGTGTTTGTGGTATGGCAGTGGTATCGGTCTTAGTATCAGTCCTGCTATCAGTCCTGGTATCGGTCTTGGTATCAGTCCTGGAATCAGTCTTGGTATCAGTCTTGGTATCAGTGATCTCTTTCCCCTTGGTTTAGATTTGCGGGCTGCCCACCTGGGTAATTTCGACATCCCCCAGCAGAGCAGCCGCGCACCCAGCGGCCCTCGTTCACTGATACTGTCCACTTGTGGATCTTGTCGTCCTGAAGCGCGTCGGGAGTGAGGTTGCAGATTTCGATCTTAGTGAAGTTCCTCTTGAAGTCGTCAAAGGACATCCTGGGTAGAAGAGAGAGGCAGAAAACGTGGGAAAAGACTTTGTGAAAATCTCGACAGATATATGATTCTTAGAAAAGCAATAACTTCAGGCATGGCTATTAAACTTGTATTAATGGGTACATATGTTTCCCTTTGTACTAGGAGTGGTTGTGAGGCAGGTCATACACAGGTACGCTGCCAGCTGCCTCTTACCAGAACTCTCCATCTTCAGCATTTTGCTGCTGAAGCTTCTCTTTCTCTGCCTTGGCGATAGATGCCCACTCCTTTGAGCTACATGGGGGTGGAGAGGGATTCACATAACGCTACTCGAAATCACGCTTTGACTAGCAACACAAGCTTATAACAAACGTTGCCATTTTGCCATTGGTGATGACTGCTCAAAAGTAAGCATGTTTGTACATTGAGAGCTATATGTAAACCGAGATTGTTTTCAAGAAGCATTTTCCTTGCTTGTGTACTTAATTTCTTACAAAATCCTGTGTACTAATTTGCTTGACCAACTCAGCTGTTAAGGGTCAGACACCATAGAGTATTTCATTGTATTTGATTACAGACTTTTTTGGCTGATTGGTCCCCATAGTGACGTCTGCAGGATGGAGCCACTCACTTGTCACTCCATGGCCCGTTCCACTCCACCTGACCCCACGGGTTCCGGAGCCGCACCAGGCGTATCTTGGGCTGCTTCTGCAGTGACTTTGTACACTGCGTGGAACACACCGGACCTATTAGCACGGCACCTTTCCCACCACGGCCATACGGCAACACATCAGTGTGGTGGCGCTTTAATCAATCCATTAACCTGTATTTCATTTTTTTAACAAGAGATAGTCATTCATACTATTGAACAGCTTACCAAAAAACTGGATGAAAAAAAACACATAAATAAAATATCCTGCATTGCTTTATGGGTAAAGTCGCTGATGAGTTACAGTCACCTACCCTACCCTCCTTGAACTGTGTGATCTGGGTCTAAGTCAATGACATATCCTCACCTCCTCCACTCCTGTCACAGAGTAGGCGTGGCCTTTGACGAGTCCAGTGGCGGTCCGGGTCTCTAACCGGGCTGGAACTAAAGCCTGTAAGACCAAGAAACGAAAAAAGACATGAGTTCATTGACAGTGGTTATATGAAGCTGATGCCTCCGGGTGATGATCACAGACATCCTACATGCAGCAAAGGTGCTCCTAAAGGCTGCTGAGTAGGGCCATAGTTCTGCTGAACTTTTGAGGAGAAAGCAGGTGGGCAGCTTCAGGTTGCTTAACCATCATTTGTGCCTATAAAATATGTCGAGCAACATAAAAACTTGAAATCAGCCAGTACCTGTCCCCTTATAACGTAGAATGGGCTAGTAAATTAGACTGAATGGCACAGAGCCAAGGGGCAAGCAGTACTAACCTTCGGTGACCATGGAAAAGATTAGTTACTCAACTCAGTGCACATGCTCAGAAAACATTAATTTCAGTTGTTGCCCTCAGGCTCTTTTATGCCTCCTCTGTGAAAAGCTGAGGTACAAGACGCCATCCAGGTGAGTAGCAGCCGGACAGCCAAGGTGATGCAAGCTCCCTCAAAAGGCCTCAGCCAATCGGATCGATACCAACCCCACCCGAGGTGTCCCCCAGCTTGCTCTTTTGTGCATCTGTGATCATCTTATCGATAATAGGGCCCAGCACGTCTGGGGGTGGGGAGTATCCCAAGGTATCCTTCACACCAGCAGGATAGAGACACGTCAGATGACAGAGACTCACAGTTAGAGTCAGGATGTAGGATCAGTAGATACAGCTTTACAAAGATACAAGAAATAAAGAAAAATCCAAGACTCAAAGACGAAAACAAAAATGAAAAACAAGACTTTGATTACAGCAAGAACTCTTATTTGTGACCTGAAAATGAGACCCTTATTCAAACATAGCAAAATGAAAACTATCAGCATTAAGCTGGGAAATATCAAAATCCTTTTAACTTCACCCACCAAAAAAGCTACGGTTCTGTAGTTTTACCATAAGCCCGCGGAGGCCCGTGTGTCCATCGGCTGGGAGAGATTTGTGGCAAACACTCACGTCCATGGAGCATCCCATGAGAGACCCCCTCTCCAAGGCTTTCTTCATGATCTTATACAGCTCCTTGGGTGCGTCCTTTATGTCGTAAAACTCGGTCACCCCGCCGGTGAAGTCCTCCATGGCTTCGGTGGTGTTCCCACCCTTGAGGGCCTCATAGGAACCATGCAGCCTGGCCACGGGGTGAAGCGGTGATGAGTGCAGACTATGCGGTGAACTCGATTCCACATCCAAGTGCTAGTACACACGTCTGTCTTTCGAACACTTATCCTAAACACAGGGGTATAACTTTGGGTTGAGGATTGGGGGGGGGGGGTTGAGATCCCTACCCATTTAAGGGGGTTCAGGGGGTTGTATTGGCTGGTTTTCGATTATTGGGAGGATTACAACCCCCCCCCCGTAATTTACACCGATGCCTGAACAGGATCATAGGGGGACCTGGAGCCTTTTGTAAGCAGCATAGGGTACCTGGCCAGTCCGCTGCTTTGGTCACATGACATTGGAAATTTAGCCCAACTGAGTGTCTTTGGACTGCGGGAGGAAGTTGGAGTATCCAACTTTAATTAAATTTAAAATTAATATGAAATATCAAACAAAATCAGTATGTGTTATGTTAGTACATATGTTAATGTTTTTCCAATATTTTCATTAAGAAATGGATCATATTGATGAACCAGTACAAATGACACTTGGGAGAATATCTCCTTTCATTTTTCTGTTTTTTGGCTTTGCTGTTGTCCCTTTGTCCCCTTCACAAAAAAGAAGAAGGATATGGTGACTTTAAAATACATATACAGCTATGTGGACATACAGAATGTGGACACACTGGAATTAAGTAAAGAGAAATTCAGCTTTCTCAATTTTAGTGTGTTGAGCAATTCTTCATGACTGGAGGCAAATGCAAAAGAGTCTGCTTGCATTCGATGGCATTTAAATGGCAAACTTTTCAGCATAAAATGAGGTCCTTAGAAGCAGGATGGAGTGCAGGATATAACAGGAGAATAGGAGGCTTTGGGGACAGAGGGGGTTTTTCAGGACACTGTGACAATGTGCTGCAGTGGGCATTTTCCCTGGTGCATTTATAGAGGTCACATTGCATCCCACTCACTTGGCGTAGGCTTTCTCCAGTAGGGCGCTCCAAAACTCATTCCTCACTTCTGACTTGGTGAAGACCAGCTGGTTGTTGAAAGTGGGGATCCGGTCGTCCACGACTACATCAACCCAATCGCCATAGCGCCAGAACTAAAGCACCCAGCCCAGGGGTAACCAAACGCAGAATTGAGAGATGACAGAAAAGTGTCAGAAGGAAACTTTATTTTGCTTTGATCCCAATTAAATGATAAAGCAGCAGCTGGTTCACGGCACTAACCTGGAAGTGGAAAATGCCGGCGTAGTTTTCAGTGAAGCTCTGCTCTGGGGGGATGACTCTGTACAGAAGCTTCTCATTAAGCGTCAAGCATGCAATGGCCGCCAGTAGCCAACAGTCACCTGCAGAAACCAGTAGGAGCCATACTGGATGACCATTTCACTACATGATAAAGTATAACCTGGCTTCAGGTAGAAGAGAAAACCTACTGGATAATATCTCTCCAGGACCAGAGTTGGAGATCCCTTGTCTACTTGGATAAAACCAGGCCCCATAGATGCATGCCTGACAAGGTGTCTAAGCCTTCAAGTCCAGGCTTGCTGGCGCACATCGGTGCTATTTTCTGAGCAAACATGCAATGTGTCAGAAATGGAGTTTAGAGTTCCCTGGTGGGTATTCGTCGTCATTAACAGCTCTGTGTGCAGGTGGCTTGCGGTCACACATCGAACGGCTGGAGTTACACCCCTCACTTCTGCCCTCAACAGAAAGTTCAGGAATGTTGTCCCTCCCTGTATCTGGTGACCTGCACTATCCATGCATCCTTGCATGCAGTGAGCCCCTTTCATTCCAGGGTTTTGCCCATGTAGCTCGGTTGCTCCAGTCCCTTCCTTGTTTTTTTTTTTTTTTTGACAGGCAAACTTGAGGCCACAGCTGTTTCTGTCTTTCGACTTTTTTTGGACCCTCTGCGGGCGTATGAGGGTATGACATCTACGATCCAACAACGAGACGCGATGTCAACTAGATGCGAGTCAATGCAGCTGCTGCGCGTCTTCGCCTGGCGTGCCGCTCTTTTTCAGGAAACTTTATTAGATGATTCGAATGTCATGCCATAACAGCCTTTCATCGAGATACCTGCAGATTTATTTTTTATCAAGGCAGTGTGCTGTTAACTGTTCTGCTTTGTCAGCCTGCCTGAACTTTCACCACTTGATGCTGATTGATCCACATGATCCCTCTGATTCTCCCTTACCCCCCCCCACATACCTTTTACAGCCCCTGGGAATCACCACACCTTTTGGTTCATTCACACTCAGCAAATCCTGGTTGCTAAGACAGCCAAGATTCCAAATGTGAATCTGTACTCTCATGGCAGATAATGCACCAGCTTTACCACCATAGAAACATGGGCCTAAGTTCATAGTTACACCCAGACAGCAGCAGTAGATGTTACAACACTGCTTATAGGTTGACAGACCACTGCCATTCTTTATCATTGGTGGATCTGAGATTCTCTGAGTGTCTGGATGTGAGGATTGATGCTCAGTCTGCACCTCTGTTCAGCAGACAGCTTGTAGTGGTTCATGTTGATTGAGAAACTAGCTAAAGTTATTGTTGCCATAGACAGGCAACGTGATGGTGCATACAAACTTCCTAAAGTACTCAGGTCTGCATCTAACATGCTTGTGCCCAGATGTGACAGTATCTATAAATGACTCTCACCCAGATCTCCTTGGCAGATGTCTGTCCGGTTGGCTCCTCCCACGATGAACTGTGGGTTTTCGCAGATCTCCTGTACAGTGAAGAACGGGATTATAGGAGTCTCTTCTCTGTTCCAGTTAGAACTGCAGGCTGCCCTGGTAACTGATCTGGCTGGTTAATGATTAACGACCCCTAAGGGATGTGCAGTGTTTAATGGCAATATGAATGAGCTGATACATCCTTCATAAGCCAAGATTGACTGTATAGTCAAGTGACAATTAATATTAAGCAAAAAGGGAATGGTATGGCTCCATAAAAGGTGGTTCTGAAAATTAAATACATTTCTTGTCCATTAGCTGCAATCTTACTTGTCCACTTGACCTATTGATGGTCCTAAATGCCACTCAGCTGAAATCTGTTTTTTAAATATCTCATTTTAAAAAAGGGCTGTCCTATGTCTGAGCTGTGCATTAAAAGATTATTCCTGCATGTGTTTTCAGAGAATCAGTATTACCGGACAGAGATGCCACACAAGCAATCAACAGTATAACTTTTAGTGACCCATGCCAGGTGCCCAAGTGACAGCTGACTGCATTCAGATCTTTTTCGTATCTGCTGTTGACTTGAACTCCATCCAAGTTGACACGGTCCAGACAGCTGCCGTGTGTTGCAGGCTATGTGTCAATGTTAGCTTGTGAACCGACACCTCTTATCGCATTGACAGGTACAAATACCAAACCTTATGTTTCCTAATGCATTAATCCTGAAAGTGTGCATTCTAAGGACATTGATGGAGATTACATTGTTAATAAGCAGACAGGTTAAAAATCACTGGGGTTTATTTTCAGCGTAGAGCTGTGAGTATGCACCATGACGATGGCGAAATGTCTGAGCACCATGCACTGAACTCAAGTTTTTGTGTCACACATCTTGAATTACAATAGCTCACATCACGAGAAAGTATCATTTCCATTTACTTGACCTGGATCTGTGAGACACCAAATGATCTGTGACGTGTCGGTGACCTAGAACCTAACATCACCAACTACAGAACAACATAATGTAGATCCCGACATCATCCTTCAGGTTTTAACCAGAAAACATTGCTTCAGACTCTGACCTCTTTATAGTGTTGAGTCTGTCAGCCAGCTGAACTGCTTCTTGCTGGCTGTAACTCAATACGTTTTAAATAAATTTCCAGTTACCAAATGGTGAAAGCATACCTGCTAAAAATAAATTTCACATTCCCAGAAAACCAGTTTAATATCAGGTCAAATAATTGGTATTTATCCAGGGTCAACACCAAGTCTTGTGGACATTTTGATCAAAATGGAACTTAAAATGTACCTTAGACATAGTATCTAAAGACATAACCTACATGTTTTTTGTTACTATGGACACAGAAGAGTCTTGTCACGGACACGTCTGTCTGTGTATGGACAGTTTGATGATGCCAGGCATCAATAAAAATTAGGAATATTCTACTATTATTCATGAATGTGTTTTGCAAATATCTTTCTCTCTTTTTGTATTTGTTATTGCAATTTCTGATATATAAACATAATTATAAATTGTGGTTAAGAAAATATATACCCAGCTGAAGAATAAACCAGTCATGTGACCCACAGGTGGCACCTTCTGACTGACCCTTCCCACAACCCACTGATCTCAGGTCAGCTGTGACAGATACCGAATTGGTCATGTTTTTATTTCAATATTTAAATATTAAAATAAAAATAATTTATGTATGTATATATTTGTGGATTAGGATTTATTCTTTGAAAAATCTAAAAAGTGTACAATAAAAGATTTCATACTTAGTTCTAAGAATTATTTTTACAGAGACCATTAGCTTTTGTCAATATGGTAAGTAATTTCTTTCGCTTGTTAATAGCTTCTCAGTCTTGACATTGATCTGTAATTTTATTTTAATGCTGACAGCTCTATTAGTTCCAGAGTCTCTGAATGAGCCTGGTTTCACTTCATCAGTGTAGCTTTGAATGGAAAGCTAAGATAACTGATTGGTTCTTCAAGCAACTTCGCAAGCCGGTTGGTTCTAAGTCTTGCTAACCACTGTATCCACCAGTTAGTTATCCATGCAAGTATGTATACAATTCATTATACCTGTATGTTAGTTTTGCATCACAGTTTTGCAGACATTCTCATAAAATCTCCTTTCTGGCCAAGTTTGCCAACAGACCCCGGTATTTTGTATACCTGCCATTCATTCTCCATACCAGCATTACATCACACAGTTTCCTCATTGCCTGACCACTACAAAACTCAAGCTTCAGAATTCAAATCTCTTCAAGCCAACACGATCTCCTGCTAAAACAACACTTTTTGCAACCATTCTTTTAATTAAAAAGTCTCTGCATTCTACATCAACTGTTCAGGCTTCGTAACTGAAACATAACCTCAGGGGTCATGATTGAACCTTTTTTCTCTGCTCTTCCTCAGCACCTGTCAACGTTCTAGATTGGGAATGGAGCTTCCATGTTCTATAGCCTCCGTCTGCCTATTACCCTCCCTACATGTACACCAGCCTCCATGATCTTGCCCTGCCCCTTTCCCTCTCCTACCTTAGGCCTCTTCCAGACAATGTTCTTCACTTTGTTTGACTTTTGTCCTAGCTCCTTGAAGCCTAAGGAATCCACAGTGGCTGGGAAGACATCATCCTCAAACAGGGCTTTCTTTTGGAGGTTCTCCTGCTTAATGGTGGCAAAGTCCTGGCCGCTGAAGCGTAGGGGGTTGCTGATGGAGCCTTCCCCATCCCTTCGCTCCCTTTCCCGGATCAGCCGGTCGCAGAAGAAGCCAGACGGTGTGTAGGGCATTATGTCTTGTCTTTTTTTAGCCTTTGTTGGCGTTTGCTATCTCTACTATACATTAACAGACCTAAACACCCTGGCATATAGCCAAATGACTAACCTGTGATTGGCCACATTTTTCAATGATGTAACACCTTGCTTGTCATACCGTGGCCTTGGGCGTGGTGGGCGGAGTTTGGCAGAACACACGAAAATCAACCATTTTCTGGATGGTAATTGGTCCTCGAACAATGATGCCGGGACCCCCGGGCCCCCTGGACAGTATGGGTGGTTACACATTTTCACCATCTGCATTGTTGGACCGCACAAAGAGGGGAGCAGTGTGTTCTGTGTAACGGGCAGGCTGTAGGATGCACTGCCTCAGCAGAAGGCTTTCAGGCCTTTTAAACCTCTTCTCAATGGAGCTCCTAGTTGAGCCGCCTCAGCAGAACTATAGGAGGTTAATCCTATGGAGAGAAGCCTCAAATTTTTGGTGCAGTTGCAACTTGGACTATCGATTCACTCAAGCAATTGTTTCAGAGTCAGTTGGATATCTGTCACACTATGTACAGTTCTAGGCTAGTTTGTAAATACGACAAGTATGCATGAGCGACATTATGAGAAGATGTAATATCATCCATCCATCTTCTGTAACTACTTATGCTATTCAGGGTCGTGGGAGGGTCTGGAGCCCATGGGCGCAAGGCAGGGAATAACCCAGGATGGGACACCAACCCATCGCAGGGCTCACTCACCATTCGCTCACATAATCACACCTGCGGGCAATTTTGTAACTCACAATAGCATGTTTTGGGGCTGTGGGAGGGGGACTGGATTACCGAGAGGAAACCCCATGATGACACAGGGAGAACATGCAAACTCCACACACATGGAACCCTGGGGGCCTTGAAGCCAGAGGCAACAATGCTAACCACCATACTACCCCATACTACCCCAAAGTCTAATGCATTTATTCAAATATTCAAACAAATTTGGAAACCGATTCAAAATGTGAAGGACGTGCCATATCAATGCCTGAAATCAGAAGTAAACTGAACACATGTTGATGACTGTTGATACAATAATAAACAACCTGGCCACTACAAATAAGTTAACTAACCTTTGGTCTGACCTAAATGCTGAATTTAATATGGTCAGAGCTTAATATGGTCAGAGAGATTCATTCAGTGAAAGATATCTACACATTGTGATGATCTTGTACTACTGGAACTATCTAATCTGACACTCCCAACACACAGGAGGAACGTCTTACTGAACCATACTGATGCAAATCATATTCCTTTTAACATAACAAAATTATAATTTTTCTTGTAACGTCTCCTTGATAAGGTCCAGGTCAGAGCCTTCAGGCCTTTGGAACATATAGCGCCGCTTAGTGGTAGCTGAGTGATACTCACTGGTGGGCGCTTCCATTCAAACTTGATGGGGAATTGGCCAGAATAGAAGAGAGATGTGTCATCCGCAGGAAAAAGAGGGTCTTCGAATAGGACCTTCTTGCGAAAATATTTGTCCCGCAGCTCAATGAAGTTTTTCAGGCGTTTTGCATCGATGACGGCATGATTGCGATTCAAGATGGCGCTGTAGATGCTTCCGGGTGTGGCAGATGGAAAGCCCACCTTATTTGGCATGGGAGCTGCCTCGGTTGGGACTGAAATCGATCTAGGAGTTGTCACCTTTAAGGCCATCTTCCCTCCTTCCTTGTCTTTCTTTTCTTCCTCCTTCTTTTCTACAAGTTTTTTTCCTTTCAGCATCGTATCGCTAGATTGTTACGATAATATGACGTATAAAATACGGAAAACAGTTAAATATCAAGGCAGAATGAGAGAAGCAACTCAAGGGTTAAAAGCAGCTTGGGAAGAGGGGATTTGGCGCCCCTAATACATGTTAGTCCACCTCGACCCTAGACCTCCCACCTTTTCCCAAGAAAATGTCCCAGTACGTCACTGACCCAGCTCAGATTTGTTTTTCAAGAACCCACAACAGATCCAGACCAGCCGCGTTGTCCTATTTCACAAACGAATCTAGTTCCCTTTTCCTTAATTTCAGTTCCTGTATGTGCTGATCTAAGACCCACATGCATACACACACTCCCTTTTACCCACGCTTTCCCCATGCCAGGGCTAAATATAGTCTTCTTAAAGAGAGGGGAGGGATGTGCTTAAAAAAAACTCTCTCTTCAGTCACCCCCCCCGCCCCCCAGTACACCCCCCAAGTTATATTACGCAAACTTTGAAAATATACATTAATGAAGTTGTTCATTTTTATTACTTTTTAGGGTGTAGCTATTTTATTTTGTATTTTGTATTTTAATTTAGGTCAATATTTTAAGGAGGAGTATTTAATTTTATAATGGAATTATGGGTAATTAAGGTTTTTTTTTCCTTTCAGGCCATCCCTTTGAGCGTTTTTAATGGTTATCTGTGCTGTGGAAACTCATTAGTATATTGTTAAAACACTGACACACAATGCAGTATGAATCCAGATTCCCTGTTTACTGCAGTGTAACAGGAGAGGCTCTTCAGATTACTATCATTTTCCCATGAAAAAATTGTGTTAACTATACATAGAGGGCTGATGAACTGTGAGAGAGACAATGCATGATGCATGAACTGATGCATGAGAGAGAGAGGCGAGAACAATCGCATCTGCACAGGTAGGCAGAAGGAATGTTCGGGGTAGAAAGTTCAGTCCATTGTTAGGACAGACTGATGGCCTGAAGTTCAGAATGTGGTCTTTCTGCAGGTTTGAAGGCCTTGGAACTGACATTCCAGTGGAGATAGCATGGAGAAAAGAAAAGCAAACGAGTGGCACTGATAATTATACTTCTAATAGTATACAAATACAACTGCCAAATCTGTACAACAGTCACATTCCCTGTAAAAGATCTATCCATTTCACAAAAAGATTCAAGTGTTTTAGGGAGACTGGGTAGTAGCTCCCAAATACTAGGTATGTGTTTTTCAATCCGGTCCTCAGTTCCCTGCTAGCCAGTCCACGTTTTTGCTCCCTCCCAGTTCCTGGTAGGACTGTCTCTGGGTCCCGGAGGAGTGGATTGGGAAACACTGGACTAGGGTAACCATACTTCCTCTTGTTTTTTGGACCTAAAATGACATTTCATTTTATTTTATCTTGACATTAGCTTTCTACAGTCTGTGTGCGTATTTGCTTTGATGCCTCTCTTTGTGCCCTGCTCCCAGTGTCTTCTTTTTTGCAAAGCAAAATATGGTTGCCTTACAACTGCTGTGCATGTATCATATGTGTGCGTGGGGTGGTAGCATCGGCTTTCTGTGCACTGTTAACTTACTCTGACAGCCTCGACTCCCCCTGCGGCTTCCTTATGGAGTTTCAGCATGAATTCTTGCTGAGCTGAACTCACGGCGTGAGTAGGGAAATAAACGCAGGAGATGTTTTGTCAGAAAAATGTTAGGATAGCTGAAAATAATACCAAAATACCATAGACCATGCGACAGGAGGAAGGATGTGAAAACGCCACACCCCAGTTGGGGACAGCTGGCTCCAGTCACTTAGGGAAGGACTTTAAAAAGGACAGATGTGACAGTAGGAGATGCAGACAGTACAGCAACAGCACCAAAATGTAAAATTTTATTCTTTTCTTTTTTTTATTGAGATTCTCTTCAGCTACACAATCGGTGGTGACTTTTTACTGGAATAGGGGTATTTCTGTTTGGTAAACAGCTATAATAACAGAAACATTCAGTGATAAATGCTGTAAGGGCAACAACGGAATTCTGCCAGAAAGAAAGTCTATTCGGTTGGTTAATGATTGCAGTGCTGCACTTTAGTTCAACGGCACTAATGATCAGTGCTGTTAGTTTCGAGCACTGGGAATCACCAGCAGGTCATGAAAGTGCAGCATGCATGTGCATCACGTTGTATCCATGTATGAATTTATTAAATTCTGAGACACCTCTATGTCAAGCTGTTTAGATATTTTAGTAGAAGATACTCTGATGACATTCAGTCAGGACCCCTTCCTTGCCCATCAGCCCATTGTGGGTGAGTGTGTGACTTGTGATGGACATACATCCCTTTTACGGGTGTCCCCTGCCTCATGTCCTCTGTCGTCTGGGACAGGCTTCATGTCCACCTCCACCCTGTGCTAGATAAGCGGTTAGCAGAGGTCAGGTGAATCTGTGTTCTGTTGTTGCACTTTTCTGTGGTCTAAACAACAATCATTGCTACGTCTCTTGTGTCTGCCTGTCATAGGAAGATCTGGTTTACTTATTGCTTATCATTGAAACAGTACTTTACTTTGCAGTAAAGGAAATTGTAATTAACCTGTAATTAAGTATGTCGTAGTCACTGTTGTTGTGGAGTATAGGTCAAAATTTGCGAAGGAACCCTTTCACTGCCTACTTGCAATACACATATATAACAGAAGGGGGCATGGTAGTTTCATTAATACAAAATCAGCAATGCGTCTGTCTATAGCCTGAGCAGAGTCATTTAGAAAACAAAGTGATTTCAGTTTGGTACTGATTGTGGTTACACCAATCCTGCTATATGAATACTGTGCATTTGTTTGTTTGTAATCATGCCGTTAACAAACAGACCCTGTATTAATATTATAGATCAAAGGTCTTGCACATATGTGTTTCATAAGATTCTTATTCACCATACATGTCATTTAAATTTGCAAAGAACAACTGAAACTGAAATATATCAGGAATTGAGATTAATTATAAAGGGAGAGCCTGAATTTCTGGATAGGAAAATTAGATAATCATTGATGCCTAAAATATTATTTAAAACATTAGGACTCCTGTAATGAAGGGCACGTATTGTTAGCATGAAGGCCTCCTGGGATTAAATCTCAGGAGGGTCTCCTCTACTGTATCACTGACGAATGTATTAACCCTGAACATTTACTGTGTTATAAAGGCAGGCAGCGGAATACATGTGAGGATAGAGCAGTTCTGTCTGCTGTAAGATGGTTTTGCTGAGCACTTCATACAGCTCCGACGTAGTCAACTTAACCTGCAAACATCAACACTTCTCAAGTGCCCATTCTAAAATGAGCTGAGGTCAGTCTCAACAGCACTACAGCGATGATTTTTTGAAGTTCAGGAGAGCGTAACTTAATTATTAAATTGCATTCCAGAGCACCTCTTCATATAGCCAAATGTGCATATGTATTACAAAATGGGTGACATTCCTGACTGTGACACATGCTGCTAGGGTCCTCGGTGCATGTGCGTGAGTGCAGTGTCGACATTATGAAGATGCAGAGTCAAGTCACTGCCACAAGCAGGAAACGTCTTTGCACATGCTTCCTCTCAGCTTCTGAAGCAATCTGGGCTTTTTTTTCATATGAATGTCTCAAGGGTGGTAAACAACAGCTTCAATGCCATAAACAATGACATTTCTGTTTATATGGAGTAGATAAGCTGTGAATTCTGCCCCCTTCATCCAGTCAGCTTGGTGTGAACAAGATTCCAAAGCTGTATGACACAAGATGTACGTCACGGCAGCTCAGCGAGAGACACCTGCCAACACTTTCCTGAGAATTCCTGGCGCCATTGGTATGTCATGGTAAATAATTCACTTGCGATAAATCATGACTCTCACCTTAACATGAAAAAGGTGTGGACACCAATCCCAGGCAGAACAGGACACAAGTCTGAGATACACCCAGGACGGGATGCCTGTCATTACAGGGCATTCTTAAAACAAAGTTTCTGAAATTAAATGAATTAATTTATTATTTTTGTCTGCCATCATACCATTTTAGTGATTATAAGAGTGCGGATTTGGAAACAAAAGGGAGAGTCAGGAGGAAATTGTGATTGCCTAAATGCCCCCCCAGCCCACCCCACCCCACCCCACCCCATTGACGATGTAGGCCTTGGGCACCGTTTGATTAGGGGGCACGAAAGAGCAAGTGAAAAAAAATCTGTAGAAAAATGTGATATTACAGTTATTTACACTAGTTTTAATATTTCACTACTTTTCTTACAAAACGAACGCCAGCTAGCTAGTTAGCAGCCAGATGCCCTGCGCTACTGAAATGTTTTTAATATAAATAAACTGACAACATTTTTTTGTTGCTGTGGGGGGGGGATTTGGGAAAAAGGCGCTGCTTAGCAGAATCTTGCCTAAAGCACCAGAACACCCAGAACCGGTCCTGGGTGATTGAGTTTATATTATAAGACATGTTTGTATTGTGAAGCGTCCTCAAGTCTCCTTGAGGTGCTATATAAATAAAACTTATTATTATTATTTTGTTATTATTCTTATTCTTATTCTTATTATTATATGGTTATAGTAAGGGGATTTTTTTTTAAAATGTGTTCAACCTACACAAAGGAAAAGTTATGAAAAGTTATTGCAGCAATGTAACTTAAAAGAAGTCAAGTTACGAAAATGAGGCTGGTTTGAGGTAAGAAGTTGAACCGGTTCCGTAAAACAATAAAGGTCACACCGTTAATCCGTCAGACTACGAGGCTGGGAAAATGTTTCTCAATTAAGGTCTTGCACCACAAGTAACAGCTACAGCAGGCAGGATTTTTGCAGATTATATGAATGGAGATTGAGATGTTTGTTGCCGTTAGATGATTTTTTTTCTAGTAATTTACCGGCCTGAAGGTTTTCAGAAAATGGCTTCCAGATTTATTATACTACAAAGGGCCTTTTGTTCAATTTAAGCCCTCCCTATTACCTAATTTAATGAATTAGAATGGCAGGAAATTACATTACTCTGTGTTCTGGGTGAAAGTCATTTGCTAACTGAATTTTTAAATGATAGTTTAATAACCAAATCCTTATTTCATAATATATGTGAGAAAGTGTCTTTTCCTCAGGAACTCAGCACTTGGCTGCCCAGGCTCAGCTTGAATTCTCTGTGCTCAGTTATGTAGATACACTGCTAGTCCGACCTCTGGCTAATATTTGATTGCCCTGATGAAGTTGCAGCAGAGATGGAAGGAACGTGGTACCAGTGAACCTGTTTGAAACAGGGTATCAGGGTCCCAGTGAGCACTGTATGTGTTTGCGTGTGTGTGGATCATTTTCATTACAATAATAATAAAACAATAATAAATAATAATAACCTGTTATTTTGATGTTGTGGGAACCATTTTTCAGGTCC